TTACTTTAATCATCAATATCTAAATTAAAAAATAAAAAAGAACACATAAATAAATAATCAGATATTTATCAAGTTCGTATTATTTCATACTCGTGATCATCATTGATCGACACAATTCAATTATTGAATGACTACCAATAATTTATCACATTAATCACAGTATACGTTACAAAACGATACTGATTCCTGGTTGGGTGCCGATGACGAGCCACTTAGTGGTTTTTCATGGAGGGGAGGTTCCGAGAGGGATACCACGGGAATATTGATGTGGTCGAAGGTTTATCCTGCTACTTTGGCGAACGGTGAAAAGATCGCTGTGATTCTTATGGACACTCAAGGCGCTTTCGACAGTCAATCGACAGTGCGGGACTGCGCGACCGTGTTCGCGTTGAGTACGATGCTGTCCTCTGTGCAAATATACAATCTGTCGCAAAATGTTCAGGAGGATGATCTTCAGCACCTGCAGTTGTTCACCGAGTACGGTAGATTGGCACTGGAAAGCACCGAGAGCACGCCCCTCCAAAGATTGCAATTTTTAGTCAGAGACTGGGCTTATCCGTACGAGGCCGATTACGGTGCAAACGGCGGGAAGAAATTGCTCGACAAGAGACTGAAGATTTCCGACAGGCAGCATCCGGAATTACAGAGCTTGCGAAAGCACATTAAGTCCTGCTTTTCGGACATATCGTGTTTCCTCATGCCGCATCCCGGTCTCGAGATTGCGACGAATCCGAGATTCGACGGTAGATTATCCGAGATACAAGCAGAGTTCAAAAAACAGTTGAAAGTGCTCATACCGATGATACTGGCGCCGGAAAATCTGGTGACCAAGAAGATCAACGGCCAAGTCGTGAAAGCGAAAAATCTGTTGGAATATTTGAAGAGTTACATCAATCTATACAAAAGAGATGAACTTCCCGAACCAAAAAGCGTGTTTATGGTATGTATAATTTTAGCGGTTTTTATAATTCGCGGTTTTTATGGATCAATCTTTGGTACTTTGGTTTCATTCAACTGGAACAAGCAATCATCTAAACCGCAGTAATCCGTGTTTTGCATATACAGGCCACAGCAGAAGCTAACAATTTAACCGCTGTAGCAGAGGCTAAAGATTTATACCTTCAGATGATGGACAACGTGTGCGGTGGAGCGAAACCGTTTTTAGCGACCGCTGACTTAGAATCCGAACATCAACACTGTATGGACACAGCTCTTCGTCAATTCCAGAATAAACGAAAAATGGGCGGAGAAGAATTTAGTCAAATATACATATAAGGAAAAATTGATTAAGGTAACTATGCACATTTAATTAACTGCCAGTTTCTTTTCTAAGTATTTGCAACTTGATTTATTTATTTCTTTCTTATATAGAATATCCATTTCATCACAAATAATTTTTCTTTTACAATATAGGACATGGATAATACTTTTCCGCAATTTAAGGCGCACAATGAGAGCAAATATAAACCAGCACTGCTGCCAATAGTGCTTGCAACCGCTACTGTATGTACAGCAACCGTTTCTGCATGTGCATCTTATTTATCCGTACCAGCGTACACAGCTGTAGTTGTGTGCACTGGTATATGGAGTTATACCAAGGGCGTCAGGTTTTTTTCCTGGGGGAAGCATAATTAAAAATGTTACTTCTAGATTTAGAATACTTATAATTTATTTTATTTCTTAACTTTTTTTACATATAACTTCAATCATTTTTATTTTTTCAATTTTGGTCAAACAAAGAAACTAATCTTCTATCATCTTGACCAAATTTGTCTATCACTTGGGTGATAAAGCTTTCTTCGTTATTTTCAATCCTTTGCCTATTATATGGACGCTTAACATACAAAGATCACTGAGTCTTGATTCAGACATTGTTGAGCGCAACCATGTCTTAACACGCCGTAAGGTACTAAATAATCTCTCTATTGTTGCTGTCGTAATAGGCAACAATAGCGATTTTAAAAGCACAGCTTGAATTGCAGGCACAAATTTGGCAGCAGTAGGCATATCGTCCAGAGTAGATATTTCAGAGTCATTTATTATTTTATGCCATACAAGACCTTCATTAAGTAAGTCACCACTTTCATCAATCTCTAATAACAACTGCTTGCTCTGCTCACGGGTCATGGTTTTGAAAGTGGAAGGATACAATCGGAAAAGATTGAAAATACTTGAATTTTCTTCAGAAAATCTAATACTTAACGAACTTATAAGCGAATCTATATACGGTAAAAACAGACTTAGTTTATAGTATTCTTTGGGATCTTCTGTAGAATAGTTCGCTCTTTTAGTTTGTTTTGAGACAATCCGTGGTATTTTAATCTCAACACCAATCGAACGGCTGAACTTTTCGCATTCTATAAAAATACTGTTAAATTCGTTCCGTTCTTCATAAAGTATAGAGATTAAACGTTTTATATGATTTTGACATTCAAGCAAATTTATTTGTTTATTTTGTAGTAATACAGAAATAGGTCCTAATATTTCGGAATATTTTGATATTATAAATAGACATAATAGAAATATTGGACTAGTTGCAACACAATATAAACAATTAGCTTTTTGCTTTCTACTAGTGGACCCTTCAGAAATTTCAAGCAATTTTTCCAATATTGTTCCGAAATGTTTTTTAAATAAGCCAATAGATTTGTGCTTCTTGTGGACCAGCGTGTTTCGCAAAGCATAGGAATTGAAGAAACCAGTTGTCTTCGAATATTACTTTTCCTAAAAAATTTTATTATTTCTTTTATTGTACTTATAGTATTCCTAACTTCGCCTAATTCATTTAAATCATGGAAAACCAAGTTCAATCTGTGTGACGAGCAATGGACATAATGAATATTCGGGTACTTTCGTTGTATTATACTCACGCCATTCTCTTTTTCCGCCATTGCAGAGCATCCATCATATCCCTGGCCTACACAATATGCCATGTTTAAATTTAAGCTTTAGCACTTCGCTAAAATAGCATCAGAAATAGACTGAACATCAAATTTTTTTGCCCGGGTCAATACTTAATTTTTGCTGATTCCGCCCTTGAGTTATGTTATGAACGTTTTTCAGCGACGTAAATAAACATTAATACTTGTATGTTACCCAGTGAGAAATAAGTGGTCGAAATGATATCAAAATAATATCGAAAATATGTCCTCGAAATTCAACATCGATTCTCGAGATTCAGACGGTCCCAGTTTCGAGAAATTTTCGATATCGAAATCAGCTCAATTTCAAGTAATTTTCGACATCAAAAACAGCTAAATTTTGAATAACTTTTTACATCAAAAGCAGTGCGATTCAACATACCACATTAGCTGGGTTTCGTAAAGCGCGCATTATGCGTGCATATATCTATAACATACTATAGAAAAATGCGTGCATATAATAATGCACTTTACGGGATCCAGCCTATATTGCCTTATCTTTTACTAATATGTATATGTAAACACGCGCGATTTACAAGAAATCTATTTATTGTTTATTAAATTAAATTAAACTCTAAAGAGCATGAGGATTAACGAGATTCCCACTGTCCCTATCTACTATCTAGCGAAACCACTGCCAAGGGAACGGGCTTGGAAAAATTAGCGGGAAAAGAAGACCCTGTTGAGCTTGACTCTAGTCTGGCACATCATCATCTATGATAGGGACAGTGGGAATCTCGTTAATACCCACACAGCACAGGGAGAGTCTGAGAACGATCTGAGATTATCGCAAAAGTATATTGCGATAATCTCAGAACAATCGCATACGTACTGCGATTGACAATAAAGTACTTTCTACGAACGTTTGAATGTTCGGAGTACCTTCTCCCATAGAATTTCGCAGCGAATGTCCCCATAAAATTTCGCAGCAAATGTCTGCAGCTTGAGGGCAGTTTCAGGAAAAGATGAAAACGGGAAGGTTTATTCAGTCGATCACTTATACACGCACACATACGGAGCCAGGCGCACGCGCTCACATATATAGATTAGGTTAGGTTATTAATTTCATAATTTTACTTTATCATAAATTTATGTTTTTATTTATTAGTATTTATTACAATATAAATTGATGTTTTCATTAATATAAATTAATAATATGTGTAGTACATATGGAGGGGTTACAGCCATAATACATTTCATAATTGTAAAAGCTTTGCATTACTATATGCAAATATTTTCTGTATGTATATATGTAATTTATTTTATATAAAATAAATTTTCAATTGTATACATCTTTTCTTTTCTTTTATTGGATCAAGAACCTGAAGCGTGCCTTTTGAAAAAGACAGTACTATGTGAACGTTTGTTTGCTTGGTCTAGCTCTATAACTGTAGAATCTCTCGATGACTGGTCATCGATAATATCGGAATCTCTTTTGTACTTCTTGGAATAAGGATGTTGTATCGCTACGAAATTACGAATATTAAAATACAACAGCTTATAATTAAATGAGCTGTACGGTATAGAATTTTCTCGATATTAACCTACAAAAGACCGTGACTTTGAAGAGAAGGACACATATGATGGTTTTGATTTTCTGTCTTTTTTTTTATGTTTGACTAACTGAGTTGAAAACGTTCCATCTAATGTTCAATAATAAAAACAGCGTCAAATTTTAAAATCACCTACCTTTATTCTATTTATCGACTTAAATATCAAACTGGAATAGAATGTAAAACTGTTTTGTGTATTTTCACAAGAGTGTATAAAACTGTGTATTAAACTTCGATTCACAAAGCATACATAAGTAAAGTCAATGGCTTTAACTATGATATTATAATAACACTAATAAATTAAATATCCCTCATTTGATCCTATTATATGTGTGCGACCCAAAAGTAAGGTGATTTTCTTGAATTTTTTTTTATAGAAGGAAGTAAATGAACAACTGAAGGTTTTTGACACTTATTTATGGAGTCTAAGAGTACATAGAAAAAATTTTTTTACTAGAAATTACTGCCGTGGAATGGTGTTACACGCGGTGCATCGTGACCGCGTCAAAAAAAGATGTCCAATTGGCAATAGCTCTAGCATCTGTAAAAATTATCAGAAATCAAAAATCTAAAAATTTTCATGAAATATATAATATTTGTTGGAGCTTGAACCTATAATATGAATAAAAAGTCGAAAATTAAAAAAATGACGGACATTTGAATTTTGAGTACCGTTGTTTCACGTTTTTTCGCTCTTTAATGTGCTATATATAAAAAAAAAAACAACAAATATCACCTGCATTTAGATTCAGGCTCCAATAAATTTAATCTCTCGATTTCAATTTGTATGGGACCCAATTTCCTTGCTTTTGGATGTATCCCGCGGCTTTGAGTCGTTTCGAAATAGCTTGTTGAGTAACTTCCAATGTTTTTGCGAGCTCTTCTTGCGTTTGACACGAATCTTGATCGAGTAATGTTTTTAATTCTTCATCTTCAAACTTTTTCGGTTGACCCGAACGCTCTTTGTCTTCAACACTAAAATCACCACTTTTAAATCGTCGAAACCATTCTCTGCAAGATTTATCCGATGGTGCAAATTCACCATACACTTCCACAAGCATTCGATGCGCTTCAGCTGCACTTTTCTTCCAATTGAAACAGAAAATCAAAACTTCCCGCAAATGGTGCTTATTTGGAACGAAACTCGACATTTTCAACGCAGTAAAAATTAAACTTGTTGTGCAAAACTCAAAGGCTTGTAAACAATATTTGGTTGACAGATGTTGACACTTCACGATACAACAAAAATCAGCTGTCGCCGTCAACCATTTACAGCACCTAGAGCCATCTTTTGAAAACGGACCGAACTAAGTTGTACATCCAATACTTTAAAACAAAACAAAAAAAGGCGATCCGTCAATTAGTTTTTAAGTAATCGTGATTGCCAATT